ACCTCCTCCTATGCAGCCTCTGTTCTGGCTGGGGTCAGGCGCTGGGCATACCACTCCTTTATCGGGAGGCATGTGAACCTGCCCTGAACTACACTCTACAGAGAGCGAACACAGAACTGTGTTCACACTTGCAGTCTCGATACCATTAACCAGGAGATAGGTGGTGAGTGCCTGAGAACCCACCAATGTATAATCATCAATTAAAATAAATACAGTGATACCACAATGTCATGGAAAAACCAATTTCAGCTAACATGATGAAACAAGAGTACCTCACACAAGTGACCAAAATATAGAGTTAGAGGAGATAATACCAGAAATGGTATTAAAAGTACTTGATATGGAATTTAATATAATAATATTTAGATACTGTCAATGGACTGAGAGACGGAACGAGGAAAATAAGAACACAGAAAAAAATTTACAAAAATTCAGGAAAACACTACCGGAATTAACAAACTTAGGAGAAAAATGGGAAACAATACAAAGACAGCAATTAAAAAGTCATAAAATTAATACGAAGATTTAAGAAATATATAGTACATTGACAGGGCAAAGATATAGAATTGAGTCAATGGAAGATGCAATTATTGTGCTTGAAGACAAATCTCTAAATATTCATACGCTAGAAGAACAATGTGATTGGAATTAAATTACAGAACAGGAAAAGACAAAAAGAAACCATAGAGAATATCATCTAAGAGTTGTTGGAAGAAGATTTCCTTAACATCATGAAAGACAAATTGATAGCTACTCAAGAAGTTGAATGAACTCCAAACAGGAAAGACCCAAAAGAAAATCACCAAGACATATTATAATACAAAATTCTCAAATGTAAAAACAAGTTAAGAATCCTGAGAGCAGCTTGGGAAAAAACGAAAAGCTACGTACAAAGAAGAACAAATAAGATGAAAATAAACTGATTTCTCAGCAGAAACCACATAGGCAAGAAGACAATGACATATAAAATTCTGTAAGAAAAAAAAAAAAAAAATTGCCAACCAAGAATCATTGTTGTTAAGTGCCACGGAATCAGTTTTAAATCACAGCGACCCTCATAGGGCTTCCTGAGGAGTAGCTTGTTGGTTTGAACCGCCAATCTTGCTGTTCAAACTGACCTTGTGGTCCAGTACTTATCCTACAGTATCACAACAGGACTCCACCAAGAATCATACACCCAGCAAAATTATCCATTAAACATGACAGTGAAATTAGGGCATTTCTAAATAAACTGAATTTAAAAGAATTTGCAAAACCCAGACCAACCTTAAAAAAACAACACTAAAGGAAGTTCTTTGAACAAAGAACAATAGCAGACAACAATCTGAGACTAACACTATTAGTATAGACTAATCTATACTAATACTAATATATGACAATACTACTCAGTACTGAATCCAGATGTCGAGTATTCAAAGAAAAAATAAACCTACAAGATTGAAAACAGAGAATCAGATACGTTTTCAACAACAAAACCATAAAGAGGGTATAATGTAGTTACTGAACTTCTAAATGAAGACGAAATCAAGATCTCAAAAAAAATAAACAAAACCTAGCAACCTAACTGTATTCCTAAAACTAGACCAAATTTTATTCCTAGTCCTAGCCCATCCCCTATCCCTAACACTAACCCTAGTCCTAATTATAACCCTAAGTCAAGTCCTTAGGCCTAATGTCCACCTAGCCATAGTCTTAACCATAATTCTTTATTCCTATACCCCAAATAAGAATTATTATAACATACAAGCTTAAGTTAATGTGTACGATTTTAAAGCAACCTATGGCTCAGAAACCCTAGACAGGATCGCTGAGTTGGAACTGACCCAACCGTACTTAACAACTGGTCTTAAAATTAATAAATATTCATTGTAATTATTTTTTTAAAAAAACCAAACAACTTATTTCAACCACTCCCTGAAACCTGCTCCCCTTAGTCATTGCAGTCATAAGCCCACTATTCACCACCTGGTGTCATCACTGGAGTCGTCCGACTCCAATTTGCATAGTTAATAAACCAATATCAATACATTATTATTAACAGAAGTCCATACTTTTGTTGTTGTTCAATTTCCTCAGTTTTTATCTAATGCCTTTTTTCTTTTCCAAGATCACTTCCACGATGTTACTGCTAAGTGCCATCCAGCTGGTACTTGTTTATAGTAACCCCACGCACAAGAGAATGAAACACTGCCCAAGCTTGCACCATCAGCACAATCACTGCTATATTTGAGTCTGTTGTTGCAGACACTGTATCAATCCACCTCCATGGTGGTCTTCATCTTTTTTGCTGATCTGATCCTTCTCCAGGGACTGTACCCTTCTGATAACAAGTCTAAAGTGTATGAGATGAAGTCTTACCATCCTCGCTTAAAAGGAGCATTTTGGCTGCATTCCTCCAACACAGATTTGTTTGTTCTTTGACAGTCCATGGGTATAGTCAACATTTTTTGCCAATACCACAATTGATAGATTCAAGTACTAAGTTCTGACAACTCTACCACTGCCTAGTTTCCTATAATGTCTTCACTACTGACACTCTGGAGTCTTGGTGTGGTGCTGTAGGATCAGCACTGGACTGCTAACCACAAGGTCGGCAATTTAAACCCACCAGCCACTCTTTGGAAACCCTATACAGAGTCGCTATGAGTCAAAACACTCACTGGTACTTACCAAGTAATACTCTTGTCTAGGTATCATCTATCTTGTATCTGGTAGCTACGCTCCAGCTCCGTCCCCAGTACCTTGTCACTTTGTTCCCCTGCTTACAGCTTTTCTGTGGTAGTCATTAGTCTGTTCACCAATATTTCTTCCAGTACGTGGTAAGATTTTGAAGTGAGGTGAGGGCACTTGACTTACTTTGGCATTGAAATGTGAGCAAAAGTAATGTGTTATCACGTCTGGACCAAAGCTTTAAGAACCAATGTGAACTACACCTTTTTTCTCTTTTCCTTCTCCCAAGATGGCATAAATGTTCCAGAAAAATGGCTGTTCCACTAGTGTGGGCTTCTGACTGAGAACAAGTGGACATGGAGCAAGAGTGAGAAACACATGTGTTTAAAGCTCTCTCTTCAGTGACTGTCTAGTGTTAAGAATGAAATACAAATGACCTTAATATAATGAATAAATTCCAATGTAAATGGCTTATCTTGGTTCATCCCTCTCCTTTAAAAACTCCTTAACTGCTCTCATTGGCTCCCTTGCAATTTCTGAACAAGCCAAGTCCCTTAGTATGTCCTTTGTATGTTTTGCTCCTTTATCAACCTTTAGTTCTCAGCTTCAATATTACTTCTTCGAGGATGTCTCCCTAACCAAAGGAAGCCCTTCACTGCGATTGTCACAATACTGTGACCATTTACTACGTGGCTCTTCACAGTGATTTTTCATGTCTTTCTCATTAGATCTTAAGACCCATGACGGGGAGCAGCTCACCACTATGGTGGTGGTGGTTGTGATGTGTCGTGGAGTTAGTTGGTTCTGACTCATAGCCACTCTGCATAGGGTTTCCGAGGCTATAAATCTTTATGGGAAAAGAAAGCCTCATCCTTCTCCTATGGAACGGCTGGTAATTTTGAACTGCTGACCTAGAGGTTAGCAGCCCGACTCATAACCACTATGCTACCAGAGCTCCTTTGTATGTAGTATACACTCAAAAAACTAGTTAATAAATGAACAAATGATTCAGAAGTGAGACTTAACATTCCAGACACATATCACGTATCACAGAGATGAGCAGCTGACTATAGTAGCAGTAGAACAGTACGGGAATTAACATTTACTGAATGACTAACAATGTCCCTAGTACTGTTCTAGTTCTTTATATTCTCTCTCTAGATTCTCATAATCCTGGTGGTGGTGGTGATGTGCCGTGGAGTCACTTCTGACTCATAGCAACCCTGTACAGGGTTTCCGAGGCTGTAAATCTTTACGGGAGCAGAAAGCCTCATCTTTCTCCCGTGAACACCTGGTAGTTTCGAACTGCTGACCTTAAGGTTCACAGCCCGATTCGTAACCACTATGCTACCAGAGATCCTTTCTCATAATCCTAGAAGGTTAATATTAGTATTTCATTTTATTGATGAGGTAACTGAGGCGTAACCTAATTAAATTGAAGAGCTAGTGATGGCGGCACTTTTAACCCAGGTCTGTGTATCTCCTTCCCTGGAAGCTAAGTTGCGACGATATATCATCACTAAGTGCCTTTCTATTGTAGACATTAATTACACCCACATATGAACATATTTCTACTCCAACAGTTTTGCTTTTGCTTTGTCAACTCGCCTTATTTCAGGTACTTACTATTATCCAGAACAAGTGAGGGCAGAACAGTGTTGGAAATCAAAACTATCAGAAACCAAATATTTCATTTGAATCTCTTGAAATCTTTTCTTTTTCAGCATAAAAACTACTGTAAATTAAGCAGCAGGGACTGTGTTCCGAGTTTATTTTGTGGGAATTACGACCAATTTAATGCTGGTTTAATTAACCCTCTTGTCCCATCATCAAATGCTGCTCTGCTGGTCACTGGACACGTAAAGCTAAATGGGCTCATCAAAGGCTCAGATGATTGGCACAGACTCCAAATAAAATAAACAAACAAAACCAAAATGGCTTTTCACCTTTGGTTACCTGAGTGAAGTAACGCATTAACAACAGAAAGGTGGGCCTGGTTAACTCCCAAGTGCTGCCTGGTTCTAATGATCAAAGCTAGAGAGAAGGGCCCCTCCTCCCCACCCATCCACGCTTTTAACAGTTTAGCAAACAGGCTTAAGCAGACAGTTATGTGTCTAACAGAACAAGTCTCCTAGCTGCTGCTCAAGTGCTCTTACCACTTCCTACCTAATCAAGAACAGGTGATTATGTGTATCAGCGTAACCAGTGGAGAATGTTTACATAACCCACAGCTTCCAAATCCCCCAGTGTTCCCTTTTAGGCTCCATCATTTAAAAAATTCAGAGCAAAAAGAACATAACACAATAAATACAAAGGCGATCAGGAAGAACTATTTTAATTTTCTATTAAATATTCTTCCAAAAGCATTATTTTACCCTATATATCATGATAAGAAATCAGCATTAGAAATACCAGGGAAAGATAAATGAAGATAAGCAATTAAACTAAATGTATACTAAAAGGAGAATTATAACAACTGAGAATTTTATATATTTAATTAAATTAATAGATTATAATTTGAAAACTGTGCATCTTAAAGCAAATTTCATTTCTGCAGCTATTTTCCACAATACTTGTTTTATGACTCAAATACACTGATTTTTTAAGAAAGAAATCTATTTCTAGAATATTTTTATTTATTTAAAAAAAAGGTCTATGTTCAGCTATAGATATTTTTTCTTATTTCTTTTATTTTGATTTGGGAGGAAAATACCATTTCAAGTGCATAAAATGCAAATTTTTCAAGTATTTAAAAAAACATCTTAGCACAGAATTTGAAAAATTATTAGTGGAAAATAGAGTCCGGTCAGTAAGTGTACAACACTAATTACTGGTCAGCTACTAGTGTTCTGTTTCTTTCCTAGTTTCTACCAAGAAAAACTCTTTAAATTGAATCTTCAGCAGAATAATCTTTAAATACACTTTGTAAGCAAAATGGAGGCTTCTGTTTACATAGTTTTGGGATTTTACTGTTACTAAGTTTATTTCTGAAACTCAATGTTAGCTCAAACCATAATTACTGTATTAGCTTTGTAATGCACAGTTGTATACAGTTCAGCAAAGCAGAAGTACACCGCCAGGCCCCACTTAGGAAAAACAGGGTTGGTCACACTCATTTAAAAACAAATCTATCCCCACCATTTGCCAGTGCTTAGTTTCTGTCTAATTTCTGACACTGAAATATATGGCTGGATATATTTCTATGTCTCATTTTGATTTTCAGAAGTAGCCAGAGAGAGTTCTTCACAGTTTAGCTTTGCCGGGTTGAAGCTGAAGGCTTTGTAACTTCATAGCCAGACCCATGTTGCCAGTGATTTTCAATTTGCCTTGAAAGAAGGCCTATGAGAAAGAAGAGAGGAAATTCATTAGTTGGTGATTTTTATTTGGAGATTGCTGATATTTCAAGATTGCCTTTCCCTGAGACCATTAATTTATCCAAGTCACTTAACTTTCTTAAAAATATGAAACGTGGTTTCCTGGAATAGAATTAAAATGAGATTCCACAGAAGGAAGAATTTGTAAAAGCCATGCTTAACACAGAGCAGTCAAAAGGGTTACTTCTAGTATTTTCCCTTAGAAATTGAGTCTGCCATCATACCTACCACCCTAAAAGGGGGTGCATTTTCCATATATATTAGGCAGAGTGGTGTTTATACAGATTTATTTTGCATAAAACATTAGATGTGGGTTGGGAAGATGCAATGTACATTTCAGTAGTCTGCTGGGAGAAGCAGCACATGCAACACAGCACTTACAAACTCTTGGGACTCAGTACAATGTGGACTGAGTGCTACTGATTTTGTTTTTTTTTAATTTACATGATCAAGGAGTTATCCCTACTGAGGACAGAGCGATTGCTGAGACTGTGTTCCTTTCCGGCTTGTGTTCCTCTTTTGGCTCAAGAAGATGTAAACCAGTCTGAAGCATAGAACCATCATTTGTTCCACTTTAACAACTGCCTGGGATCAGATCACATGATGTTTGTTAAATTCACCATGTAATGATATCCCGGGACAATTTAAGAGAAATCTAAAAAAAAAAAAAAAAAAAATGGGAACACACTATGATTTCCCTGCTACTATGATCTCACTGTGTTAACTCAGTCCTTAAACTAAGGAAGGGGTCAGATGAGAAAAGTATCTGGTCCCCTTAGCTGTTTAAGCCAGCACAATAAGAAATGTGGAGCTCTTTCTTCTGTACCTTCCAAGAGAATGCACAGAGCTCTGCTTTTTTTACACCTCCTGGTAAGGGTGACTAATTCTAGTCACACACCCCCACCCCCACCCCAGTCTGGACACACTAAATATTTCCCTTCTATGTGGCACACAGCCTACTGTCTAAAGACTTAAAGGTCAGGTGTCTCAGAACACAGTATACTGAACGTATGTCCTTTACACATACAGACCAGTAGTGCACCGAAGAGAAACTCCCCATCTTCCCCTTTTTTCAGTGAAAAGAGAAAATGACTTTTTATTTATTATTAATAGAGAAAAAATGAATCTTCACTCTTTAGAGAACCCAACATAAAGATCATTTTAATCTGGCCCCTCGGTGTTTCCTTCATGTGTGTTTTCTGCTGGAGAATGAGCTGCTTTGTTTCACTGGAGCCAAACACTGAAATGAGAATTTCCACCACACTTAATGGTTTCCAGCGAAATCCTCAACTGAGCACAAGGGAAGGCCATTAGCACATTAATAGAAAGCTCAGAAGTTTTTCATTCTTAATTCCTTTGGGTGTTAACCCGTGCTCAAGAAAAATAAGCTGACACTTAGCCCCCCAAAATGGGCAGGACACAGAGGAGCGAGAGCGTGGGGGCAGCTGGTGTGCAGTCTGATTGTCTGCCAAGGCTGTGCGTGGGCTGTGGGTGGGAAGGACAACCGCCAGCTCCTACACCGGTGGCCTCCGTTCTGTCCAGGTTTCTGGAACAGGCTCTGTCAGTGGAGATACCAGAGCTCATGTTTTCAGCTGAAACATGTCACAGACGCAAGGCCCTTACTTGTCATGGCATCAACTGGCAAATGCTTAGCTGCTTGGAAAAGGCCTTTGAAAAAAAAGTAAGAGTAGGCTTAAGATTTTGTAATTTTATCCAAACTGTAAATTACCAGAGAACTGCAGGACCAAGAACTAAAACTAGTTAAGGCTAGGGCAACAAAAAATAAAAGCTTCAATGGAAGGAAGCCGCTGGTTCTTTTTGTCACCCTGTGCTGTCTGAAAACTCAGTTTATCAAGTCGGTTTCAACACTGCAACTGAAGAGTATAAAAAGGACCCTGAACATTTTGGGACAAGGAAAATCTGAATCAAGTATAAATACTTTTCAACAATTTAATCCAACAACTATTTACCCAAAACCTAGACATGTCAGGCACTGTGCTGAGCCCTCCTGTTTCATTGAAAAGCTCCCAATTTAATGGGGAGAGACAGGTACCTATGACTAACCTCATGTGACAAGTGCTAAATTAACAGTCTACTGAGTGGCATGGAAGACGGATTGGCTACAGCTCCTTGGACAATGTGGAAGGAGTTGTTTGGAGAGAACCTATGAGCTGGTTTGGAAAGATGGAATTTGACAGGGAAAAACAGTTGAAACAAAAAAAGAAGAGCAACAGACAAAGGTTGTTGTTGAGTGTCACCGAGCTGGTACTGACTCACAGCGACCCTATATAGGGTTTCCGAAGGACAGCTGGTGAGTTTGAACCACTGACCTTGTGGTTTGCAGTCTAGTGCTTATCCTAGAAAGTCACACCAGGAATCCATGGACAAAAGTAGGAAATGTACAAGGTCATGCTTTGTTCACACTGCTACCTCTGTGAGGCTTGCCTTGATTGCCCCAGCGGACATGGCTGTCCCGTCTTCATCCTTCTTGGCATGGTACCCCGAACCCTTGGCTGCACTTGCTCTTTAGTAGATCCGTCTCCTACCAAACTGTGGATACCCTGAGCGTGGGAACTATTTCTTACTCAGCGGAGTATTTCCAGCACCCACAACAGTTCTACAAATGTTTGTCATGTTTTAAATGAACACTTTGGGAAGCAGTGAATTTTGGGTGCGTTTGATCACTTGGTACTTTAGGACATGTGGCAGATGAGGGGGAAGAAAGCTAAAGATTTACACCCTCGGAAACCCTGTACAGGGTTGCTATACTCGACAGCAATTAACAACAACAACAACAACAACAACAACAACTAGAAGGACATAGGCTTCATCTACTTACCGACTGAGGATTCATTTTGCCGGTCATTAAGGCCAGTAAGTCCGTGTCAGCCATTGTGATAGTACAGTCAGCCTTCTTATCTGAACGAGAGAGACGCAGGGCAAGGGAAGAGAAAGAGGAGTGCTTAAGTGTCACATACACATTTTCATCATGAGCCAGTGACTGCAACAGAATCACAGCCAGTCCTCGAGCAGTGTGGGGAAATGGACACTCAGGTACTCTCCCTCTATGGCAGCCTGGGGAGATGTGGCATAAACCACAAGCAGCTTCCATATCTTACAAAAGGGAACTGATTAAATAAATTATGGCCTGTTCATATAAAAGGATACAACGTAGCCAGTATATAAGAGATGATGTGGCTCTATAGCTACTGACCTTCAAATAAGTTCAGGTTATATCGTTACATAAACCAGTTGTGAAACACATTATATTTTGCTTAAAAACAGACAATCAATTATATTCATACAAGAAATACATCTGTAAACTTAAGACACCAACATATTAATGAGAGTTATTGTGTGGGCAGACTTTAAGATGGCCCCAGGGTCCCTGCCTCCTGGTGTCTTCCCTCTCTTTCTCTCCCTCCAGTGTGGGCACGACCTGAGATTTGCTTCTAACCTTCTAACCCAGAGAATGCAGCAAAGGTGACAATCAATACTCCCCCAGGATTATGTTATGGTCAATGAGACTCCATCTTGTAAGCAGCCTCACTCTTGCCTCTGCTGCTGGCAGTAAAGCAGCTACCTGCAGTGTTGTGAACTGCCTATGGAGGAGGGCATGTGGCAGGAAGCCAGGGCAGCCTTTGGCCAACAGCCAACAAAACACAGAACCTACCATTCTGACAGCTACAAGGAAATAAATATTGCCAACAACGTTTGTTGTTGTTAAGTGCCGTGGAGTCGGTTCCGACTCATAGTGACCCCTGCACAGGGTTTCCGAGGCTGTAAATCTTTACGGGAGCAGAACGCCTCATCTTTCTCCCGCGGAATAGCTGGTAGTTTCGAACTGCTAACCTTGAGGTTAGCAATGGGCCCTTCCCCAATCAAGCCTCCAAATGGGAATATAGCCCTCATCAACACCTTGACTGCAGCCCTGTAAGACCCTATATACAGAACCCGCTAAGCAAACTATGCTCCTGATCCATGGAAACTGTAAGACAATGTGTGTGTGTTGTTCTATAGCACTAAGATTATAACAATTTGCTAAGCAGTCATAGAAAATGAGTACAATTATCCAGATCAGAGGTTAACCAACTTTTTCTCTAAAGGGCAAAGTGATAAATCTTTTAGGCTTTGACAGCCACTGTTCTCTGTTGCAACTACTCAACTCAGTCCTTGTAGTGCAAAACCAGCCACAGATAGCACATAGACATATGCATGTAGTGGGATTCAATAAATTTAATTTTGACACAGAGGAGGCAGACAAAGGGGGAGAAGATACCTGACAAAAATCCTGAATCCAGAATATATAAAGAACTCCTCATAATACAAAGGAGTCCTGGTGTGGCACTGTAGGATAAGCACTGGACTGCTGATTGCAAAGTCGGCAGTGCAAACCCACCAGTTGCTCCTTGGAAACTATACAGCGTTGCTATGAGTTGGAACTGACTAAGATATTGAACAGCTAATACAAAATTCAGCTCATAAAACAAAGGCATTAACGAGAAGCTCCAAACTGAAAAAAAAAAAAAAAAGCATCTGAAACAGTACTCAACTTTTCATTAGTCATCAAGAATTAGAAATGACAACCATGACAAGGCACCACTAAGCAACTATTAGAACGATTGGCTAAAATGTACAGACAACTGACAGTACTCAGTGCTGGCATGGACGTGGACCATATGATGGTCCCTCCGCTTTGGAAACTGTCTGTTTCTTATAAGCATGCATGTACCATGCAAACTAGCAAGCCCACTCTTAGGTATTCATCCATGTATGTTCACACAAAACCTGTATATGGATATGCATAGTGGCTTTATTCATAATTGCTAAAAACTGGAAATAATCCAAATGTGCACCAGCTGGTAAATGGATAAACTACTCAGAAACAAAGAGGAACAAACTACTGATGACATGCACAACATGAATGAAACTCAGTATTTTGTTCAGAGAAAGCCAATTATGTATGATTCCATTTATGTGACATTTTGAAAAAGGCAAAGAGACAGAAATCAGATTAGCAGTTACCAGGGACTGAACGTGGGAACTGACTACAAAGAAGCACGAGTCATGAAGACAGTTTTGAGGTGATGCAAAAACTCTCTTGTCTTTATTTGTGGTGGTGATTATATATATATATGACAAATATATTTGTCAAAATTTACACAATTATGCAAAAACAACAACTGATAGCTGTTGTTGTTGCTGTTACTGTTAAGTGCCATTGAGTCAGTGCCGACTTGTAACGACCTTGTATAGGGTTTCCGAGGAGTGGTTGGTGGTCTGAACCACTGACCTTGTGGTTCAAACCAACTGTGTGATCCAGTGCTTATCCTACAGTGTGACACCAGGACTAAGTGTTCTCAAAAATGTAAAAAACAAAACCAAAACAGAAACTCTCATATTCTGCACAAGGGAACACAAATTAAACATCCACATAAAAAAACGGGCTATAATGGACGCCAAGGCCTAACATGCCCACAGAAATGAGCGCAACATATCATCTGCTACTTACAATGAACCACATTTATAAACGTCCCTTTTAGGCTGTGTATGTGTATTTCTTTAGGTCTTATCTTTAATAATACATGATATATACGATGTTGTAGAGCATAATTTGCTGATATTATCATTCTCAGATTTTTTTTTTATGATTCACCATCATACAGATTTAGTTTTCTAAACTAAATCAAGAGCTTTCGTGGTGGTGGTAGTGTGATGTAGAGTTGGTTCCGACTCATAGCAACCCCGTATAGGGTTTTCAAGGTTGTAAATCTTTACAGGAGCAGAAAACCTCATCTTTCTCCCGTGGAATGGCTGGTAGTTTCAAACTACTGACCTTGAGGTTAGCAGCCCGATTCGTAACCACTACACTACTAGAGCTCCTTAAATCAAGAACTTCAGTTGATTGAAAACATGGACACAAATGCTAATCGCTACCCTAACATCGACAGGCAGATTCCGGAAGTAGTGAGACAGTGAAGTGAAATATATGAGGGGAAATGAAAGGACCATACAAATAACTCTCACTAATTTGCTGACTAGATACGCCATCCCATTTCCCAGGATAATCCAGATGATCCAGAAATGTACACAAATGGAGCTGTTTTTTAGTACCATCAAGTTGGTTCTGACTTGGAGACCCTATGCACAACAGAATGAAACACTGACCAGTCCTGCACTCTTCTTACAACTCTGGTTACACTGGAACCTACTGTTGTTGGCACAGTGTCAATCCATGTCATTGGGAGTCTTCCACTTTTTTGCTAACCCTCCACTTTACAAAGCATGATGCCCTTCTCCAGAGGCCAGTCTCTCTTGACAGTATGTCCAAGGTATGAAAGACAAGTATGTCTTCATATCTAAGATGCATTCTGGCTGTACTTCTTCCAACACAGATTTGTTTGTTCATCTAGCAGTCTATGGTATTTTCAATATTCTTTGTTAACACCATAATTCAAATGCAACAACGGTTCTACGGTCTTCTTTACTCACTGTCCAACTGCCATATGCATATGAGATGAAAGAAAATACCACGGCTTGGGTCAGGTACACTTTAATCCTCACCATGACAACTTTGCTCTTTAATTCTTTAAAAAGAGGTCTTATGCAGCAGATTTGGCTAATGGTGGTATATCATTTGACTTTCTGACTGCAGATTCCATGAGAGTTGATTGTGGATCCAAGCAAAATTAAATCTTTGATAATTTGAATCTTTTCTCCGTTTATCATCAAGCTATTTATTGGTCCAGTTGTGAGGATTTTGGTTTTCTTTACATTAAGGTCCAATCGACACTGAAGGCTGTAGTCTTAGGTTTTCTTCAATAAGTATTTTAAGTACTCTTCGCTTTCAGCAAGGAAGATTGTATCGCCTGCACATCACAGGTTGTTGTTAATGAGTCTTCCTCCAATTCTGATGCCACATTCTTCTTCATATACTCCATCTTCTCGGATTAGTTGCTCAGCATACAGATTGAACAAGTATGGTGAAAGAACACAAGCTTGACACACACCTTTCCTGATTTTTAAACCATTCAGTATCTCCTTGTCCTTTTTGAA